AGCTTGTCAACTAGATGGACGCTCATGAATAAATCATTTGAATCTGACTGGAGCGTGACGGCACATTCTGGGAGAAAATGCCCAATTAATTATTGTTATTTAAACAGCAGTTTTAATTTCATGGCGTGCCACCCTTCTGGAACTTAATAGAGTTCATGTCGTTTGAATTATAGCGGTGATCGCTTTAGAATATGAAAGATATTTTCTAGAGTCATGTGCTACAACAATCAAAACAAGTCCAATGGTAGTGACCTGAACTTCACAACTTTTCTGATTAATTATTTTATCTTCACAAAGAAAGAAGCAGCTTTTGGAGGACAAATGTTCTCAAGTCTTTTGCCCAATCTTCTGACAACCACCCTTAGAAGCAGCCGCTCCACGAAAAAGAGATGGTATATTGTTATGCAATTTCGACTGCACCACAGGGAGAAGGATCAATCTGGCAGCTGCTCATTTCCCTGAGCAAGTACGGATGAGACAGAGGCGTTCTAGAACATCCTCTAAATTACACAGCGCTTCGGATGGAATTCCCTGAACTTGCTGCTTTTGTGAGCTCGAAATGTTTTAGTGCTTATTTCTAATTCCTAAGGCACAAACACTTTCACATGGAACACGGAGCACCTTTTTATGCCCGAGTTTCTTGGAATTTCACAAGTGAATCTCAATGTAATCAGGAAAATCAGTCAGGGTTAATGGTTGATGCCTGACATATTGTACAGTGGGCAAAATAAGCATTTGGTACTCGGCAGATGTTCGAGTTTTTAAACTTACAAGGAATGAAAAGATCTGTCATTTTCAGGGCGGGCACATCTCAACTGTGAGAACCATAGAAATGGAATATTCCTTTTAGACTGGTGCGAATAAATCAAGTAATGAGTGAAGGATAGGATTTGAAAGATAAACTGATCAGTGAGAGCCAGAATTTCACACACAAACTATTATTTACAAACCATTCAATATAACTTTAAGATTTGATGCAGGTCTCTTTGTAATTGGGAACTTGTATTATTTACCCCACTGTATGTATAAAAAAAGTTCATCGGGTTCATCTTGATATTGTGCGACTGTTCAGTAAGTAATTATTATTTTACACATGTGACCTACATAGAAACACTGAATTAGCCAAGTTATCAGTACTACACATTTGAAGGAAGAGAACTGAGGGGATGACTACAGTATGATTCAGTGTAATGATGGATCTTGACCTTGTAATTAGGTATGGGAAGATAACCGGGTTCAAGGTTTACCTTGGTTTTCAATATTGTTTCCTAAAATAAAATATACTGTGCCCAGTTGGGACAAAAGAGCTGTTTTTATACCCAGACATTTAAATATCGTAGAGCAGTAAATACAATACAGTGATACCACGAAACTGTGATATTTTTATCCAAGGTTATCACATCATCTGAATCTTATACAGGCCCATGCCAACTCCAAACCTGCAGAGAAACTGCAGTACTTGATCATAGAGTCCTTTTGAGAGTCCTGTGTGAAGGTTTCCCCAAAGAAAATGGTAAATGCTCCATTTTGATGTAAAGAAAAAAAGATTATGAAAGACATTTCTGCTATCCCTCAAATAATCTTTAAAGTAGGTTCATTTTGCCGAATGTTTTTAGCTGAAAAAGTGATCTCATCTGTAAAGACTTACAAAAGCATTGCAATCCTTTCAATTTAACTATTCCTTTTCTAATGGTATTGGGCGTTAATTATACCATGAAAACAAATTTGCTCAAACTCTACTCAAAGCACCAAATGTGAATTTCCTTATTGTAGACGTTGGCCAACTGTAAAGTCTTTAAACTGATTTGCAGTGTAAAAAATATCTTGTACGTTGTAAAGACATTTATATCACTCATAATGACAAGGTGAACTTTATATGACATCATAGACAAATCCCTAGCAACCAGAGTATTTATAATAGCCACCTACAAACCTGGTTTTTGGTTTGTTTGGCTGTTGCTACAAAGCAGGACTTGCGTATATTGTGTTCTCTAGGGAAATCTAAAGCCTACTTAATTCCCATGTATCTTCACACGGTTCTAAAATCTTGAGGTGTTACAGATCACAGTTTCTACTAAACCCATCAGAAACACAAGACATAAATGGTGCAGCTTAGATGTGATTGTTAACAGCAGATGAACAGCATCTGCTTTCAGTACCCTGCAAGTGTCAGAATATTTTCACCACTTATCGACCGTCTAATTGAAAGCACCTCCATCATTCTGAATGACAGCACAGAGCAAGAAAAACAGAGGAGGATAGAAAAAATATAAACAGCAAGCTTTAAGGGATCAAGACTTTATCAGATGGATACAGGTAAGACACAGAAATATATATTTTTTATAAGCACAGTGGTCAGTGAAAGCAAGAAAACGAACGTGTATAAAAGTTAATACAAGAAGCATTAAAACACAACAAGCATCTGTGTAAGAAAAGGACTTGAGATGTGACTTGCCTGACACTAATTGGAGTTCCTGTTGGTAAAGATCTGATCGGTTTAGACGCCTCATTACCCTTAGGGTATGATTAGCCTAGCACCCCCAGTCCACAGTCATTCAATTAAGAGTGAGTTGCATCGTGCATGTTAAAACAGCTAATAATTGTCTGTTCTGAGCATTTCATTTAAAGGTGCTTCAAGCTGCCAGGCAAAAAACTGCCCACAAACAAATTTACATTGACATTATAGACATTTCAGAAATGAGAGTAAAAATGAGCTCTACATTTAGTGTTGTACCAATGTACAGTATATCATACAGCTGAAATAATAACCAAGTTTTGATCTGTATACTCTGCGGGAAAACTGACACAGAGCCTTTTACAGCGATCGAATGAGAAAGAAACTGAAAGAATTCGGTTCATTACACTGACAAAGTACCTCAAACCACAGAACCAGTGAAGAACTAAAAGAGCTGAAGCGAGTTCTTTAAAGTGAAAAAGTGCTACATAGTACCTTCAAACCAGCAAAGAACCTTGTTTTAAGAGTATATGTTACCATTCATAAATATTTGTTGGAATGCCTTTTTTTATGTGTAACCTAATCCCTTTCCCCCCCGGTGCTATGCATTCACTTGAGGCAAAGGGGTGTCCCAATTCTCTTTTGAATGAAGGGGAGGGGTAAGGTGAAGGACTGGGGATGAACCTAGGGATGTCTGAATATACACTTGTAAACGAAGGGTGAAGAAGTATGCATGAAGATGGCCGCCATTGCAACCAGAAATCCACAAAGTTAAGTAAAAATCGCAAATGTTATTGTGCCTATTTAGCCTAAAAACATTAACGATGCACCACAGACTTGCTTATGGCATTTTCATTTGATTGTATGTTTAAAAGGTTAAAAACTTGGAGCTATCCATTTGCAATCCTTCAAAACAATTTGGCTGATGAGAACTATATGTTCAGCTCTGCCCCTAAACACTAACATTGGGGAAGAGCTAAAAGATAGGTGTCAGTGAAAGTAATGGAACTCAGTGGTCATGTTTAATTATAAATCATTTTGATTCAAATCAATCCATTAAAGGAATGATATGTTTATAGTAACAAGAGCAGCCTATTTAATTATTCTAATGATAAGCGCTTTTCAAAACAACTGGTAAAAAAGATTGGTCTTAACTCACCACAAAGTTGGGCATAAATCAATCATTCAGAGATACAACAAAATGTAAATGCTAGTCTTATGAAGTGATAAAAACTAAATATTGTGATGCTGCAAGGCAAGCTGGGCCAGCAAGGGGGATTGAAAAATGTTTTGTTGTGGAGTTGGTAAACTTTCATCCACTTAGATGGTAGATGTGATAATTAATCACAGCAGCTGGAATTGAACTCTGTCTGGACTTATATGTTATACAATTATTTCTTTTTTTTTTTTTTTTTTTTTGTAAAAATGTAACAAACAAAGAATTTTTTCACAGTTCCGGAAAAGAAACATGTTCATTTTCCTGATAGAGACTTTCAATTCAATGGAATGGTAGATGTTACACCTTGTAAAAGTGTATAATAGTAGATATATGCATTAAATGTTTGAATGCAACTATTGTGCGAGTCTACTCAAATTGGCCTGGAACGTTAAAGAGAAACACAGGTATTTCAAAAATGAAAAGAATGATTCTCTTAATGAATGATTTCATCTTAAATTTGCAGAGATGGCTCTTATTGATTAAAACACAACAGCACACGGCAGTCAACATTCAACACTGGACAGCGAAAACAGAGATGCCCATCATAATCAACAACACGTTGTGACCTCTATTGTTATAATCGTTTTGTGTATGAATAGCCCATTAGATTGACAGAATCCAGTGCATCCCTACAACTCTTTATGACGGTTGGCTTCTTAAAAAGACCAGAAAACACTGCCACAGTAACTGCAATCTGAGACAATAACCAAACAGTTTGACAGCGCTGACATTGATGGACTCAAACCATGTTTGTGGGCACAAAATCCCATTAAACAGCAATCTCATCATCCAAGCTGTCAGCCAGGCTGTGTTTGTTGAGTACATTGAGAAGACGCAGGGTGCTTTCATCCTGCTGGCCCCAACTTTCATCACTTTCGTCTGTGTTTGACTCATATTCAGAGGCGATTCCTGACTCACGGAAGCGGAGCAGCTCTAGGCTGCCCAAAAGCTCATCCCTGGAGGACGGCGTTTCAGGACTCTCCTCCTGAAATCGGAAACACTCAAACTTGATCAAGGCCTGGTTTTTACCTATAGGACTCCCAAGAGGAAGGGAGAGTGGAGTCCCATCACTGAGCGGTGGCATGAGAGCGTCCTCTGATCTTGGTGTGCTGGGGTCACATAGGATAGGGGGTACATTTGCACGGAAGGTGATTTCAAGGAGACTATCCTGTGAGCCCACTGAAGAAATGGAAGAGAAGGAGGACATAAGAACATACCAATGGTCTGAGAATGCATTCATGTATAGACAATTTTCAAAATGATGCATTTAAAAGCCCTAGAAAAGCACACCATTATATACTTTTAAAACTTTAATATACATTTAAGGCTTTCCTGTGGCTTAGTCAGTAGATCATTGGGCTAGAAACGCAAAGGCTGTGGGTTCAAACCCAATGGAAAGCAACAACTTTGTTCATTCCTTGAAATGTAAGTGGTTTTGGATAAAAGCATCTGTTAAAAGTGACATTTTAAGACTATTTTGAGAGTGTAGGAAAAAGTATTGGAAGTTTTTCTGGCCAGTATTTTTAAGTCTTAACTAGACCACTCTCATATCTGAGCCTAAGATTTGCATCTGACATTTTACAATGCAACCTCAGTTGGAACAGCCATGTCACATACATCTGCTAAACAGAATATATATACCAGCCAGTTGCTAAAGTTTGAACACAACTTTGATGTTGGCTTTTAAAAGTGTTGTTCTAAACTATTTTTAAAAATATGCCAATAGTGATTATGAATGTTATAAATTTTACCACATTAGTCAATGATTTTTCAGAGCTGAGCTATAGACTTTTTTTTTTTTTTTTAAACATTCTGGTTTACAGGGTAGACTCAATTACTAGACAGTGACATAATATGAAGTTCCTCATGTTAATACGGTTTAATATAATATGAGTCAAAATAAACTAACCCCCATGGAGATATGCACTAGCGGGAAAGAAATGAATGGATGGATATTTTGTTGGTGAATAATTATGATGCACAGAAAAGCATTTTTTTTTTCAGCAAACTACTCACTGGAGCCATGTCCAGCAAGCTTGAGCTCGAGTTCCTGAAGCTGCTTGACCAACAGGGAGATGTGCTGTAGCAAATCTTTATTCTGCAGCAGCAACTGGTGAACTCGAGCCTGGGCTTCGATTCGTGCAGCCGCTTCAGCAGAGAGCTGATCCTTCAGCAGATGAACCTGAGCGCAAAAAAACAGCACCAATCAGTTCTTCCGACAAAGAATCTAACCAAACACACAACCAGCTACACAATTATTGTACAAGTATTTTTGGATAGCGCTTTGGTATTGGCCAAGGTGGCGATTTTGAAATAACAGGGTAAAATCATTTGTTTTTTATTTTTTGATGCACTTTTTTCATTGTCAATTTAATTCTAATTGTTGAAATAAACCTATGATTCAATGGACTGACCTTTTTTTTGGTTTGTGAGCAAACATTAAAACAGATCGAGGGGTCAAGTTATTATTTGTATTATAGCATTTATTATAGCATTAGTATTTATTCCACCACAGCAAAAATGTCTTCCTCACTAGCATGATTCTATCCATGAAAACAGAAAACAGACCATAACGCATTGACAAAGTTGCGAGTAATATTCCTAATTCCTGGCCCGAAATCCACCATTCAGAATCCACAGGTTCTAAAGAAACAGAATGCAAGAGAGTTTCTGACAAATCCTTTCAGAATTAGAAAAAAAAAACAGTGTGGTTTCAATGACCCTGTGCTGAGCTTAAAAATGCATTCGTATGGACAAGGCCTTTTCAATTTCAATTGTTTTTCAAGAATATATCCACAGTTAATACTGAACACAATAAAAACTGTCTTTACATTTTGTGGCTGAAAAAAAAAGAAGAGACATACAATTGTGTACATCCTGTTTACGACAAACAAATGCCACAAAAGTTTTCCAAGGAAACCATGACTCATTTCGGTGCCCTTTATAAATGCTAAACCTCCACCAAGAGATAGACAGTCACTCTACTAGTGGTTTACAGCATCACTTCATTCTGAGCCTGCCTTAACAGTCTGACTGCTACGGAAGCCCCACAGCTGCCCTCTGAGAAGCCTGCTGTGATTTATTACCTAGTTGCTCATGCCCTTAAGAACAATACAATCTCCAGATAAAGGCAATGAGCCATTCAGTTCAAGACTCCAGGGAGTAGAACAAAAAAATGACCATTCTGTAAATGTGGCTCAAAAGCTTTACCATCTTTTCTTTAGGGAGCATGTGCTCTGACAAAGAACCACCATCACAAGCACATGCAAGCCTCATATTTAATACAGGAGCAGACTTAAATCTCACTGGCTACATTTACATGGCCCCCAAATAATCCATTTGTGATCAAATTATTTTTTACTATGTGCATCATTTAAATTATAAAAAACAAGCTTTTTCTTTCATATTCTAAATATCTTGAAAATGAAATGAAAAGATCAATACTAAGCAAACTAAAATTAATCTAAAAACGTAAAATAATGTACAATATTCCAGATGAACAATAACAATTAACACCCAAGCAAAAAAAATGTGTAAACTTTACATTATTATTTGCATGGTGTCGTATTTTTCTACAATGGAAGTCTTCCACTCCACCTTCTTACACATTTTGGCTAAACGATGTACTCATTCTAAAACTGGGAAAAAATTATACACTCTACATGTCAACAACGCCAAATTCACAACCATTCATAGAACATTTCCTTGCTCTCCAGGATTTGCCAGACTAGACTCTTATTCTTTCCACACTACTTCGACAAGGTTAAATTGGGAGATAATTTACCCGGGATGAGGGTGATTTTTCTTTTTTATTCCTTCTTTTTGTGGGAGGGTGGGGTGCATTCACATATACTGTGATACCAACAAAACACAATAAAAAATACAATATCAACATTTTTCTTAGTTTACAAATTTCACCAGCATTTGGTTCTGAGAATGAAAAACCACCCACATAAAAAAATTCTCCCTGTATTACCCCTTCAAATCAACTGATTCTAACAGCATCTATCGTTTCATCTGTCATTCCTTTTCCCCAAGGACAAGAGCATCACAAAACAAATGGAGAAATAAATTAATAAGTTATGATTGACTGGTGTGATGCTTTGATAGCTTGCTTCAAAGCCCAACTTTTCCCTCCGTGACTAAAGACATCAGAGCAGTCAGAGGAAAGCCATAGCTGGGTTCTCCTTAACTGCGTGCTCTGTTGCAAATGAGCATGTTTCACAGTGATGGTGGCTTTTCTTCTCCCAGCTCTATCAGGTCGAACATCCTTGACTCTGCTGCACCTCAAAGACTTACTTGCTCAACAAAGCTCTGGGTCAGAAGAGCGTGGAACCAGATTCCACTCTCTTAGAGCTTTAAATGTACTCTATAGGGAACAAAAAAATAATAATAAAAGAAACAAAAAACAACTGTTTTTCAAAGCTGTGTACCCTCTGGCTGAGAATTCAGCTTTAGAAAAACAACCACTTTCTCCTTCTGCCAAACACTGTGGCTAAACAAGCTCCACAGGCTCCTGAGGGCTGAATAAATAAAGCATTCTAGTGCTGGGAAGAATGAGAATGCTTAAGTTTTGTTCACTAAGTCATGACCGAATGTTCTGCTGTTGGGAACTGTAGCAATGCAGTCTTAAAGTTAAGGAAAATCCTGCTCTAGACTGAAGGTTGTGGACAGTTATGTTAATGTTGTATTGTGTAAGAAATGGGAAGTCACAATTATGTGGTGGGTGACTGGTCAAAAACAAGTTTCGTATTTTTTGCAAAATGTTTCAGTTCTCATTCTCTTTATTAACTTAAACCCATCCAGCTAAAGAACATGGCCATCTCAAACCTAATCAGTTGCCTGCCACTTTCTCTCTATTCCCTGTTGAAATGCTGTAAAACCAGCTGCTGACAGGCCATTCAGCAGGTGACACATGCATTTACATGTGAGTGTACATATCTATCTTACCTGAGCGACGGCGACCTGTGTCTGCTGCTGCTGTTGGGTGAGCTGCTGTTGGAGCAGCTGAAGCTGGTGTGGCAGTGAGAGCCGGGTACCACTGCCCATCACTGATTCACTGCCTGCAGGGAGCAGCAGCTTCGGGGAAGACAGCAGGATGTGTGCCTCCTCAAAAGCCTGCAAACAAATAATAAATGGTCTGTCAAGAGTTTGACAATAGATGTTCACAATAGATCTGGACATTTGTTTGAAGTTTGAGTGATAAAATTATCTGGATATGTGTGCTGCTGCACCAATAAGAGCGATAGGTGGCTTGCATGACATCATTGCAGAGGAGCGAAATACAGATTGTGGGTAGGAAGTGAACTTATAAGAATCATTAAAAGAAGCTGAAAATGTAAAGTTTTGCATTGATAATAGATGCTCAAATCGACCACAAGCTTATTTTAAGTGGCAAATGTCATTGGTGAAAAATAAAAAAAATTAAAAGTAATAAACGAACCTGGGTGTGTGTGAGTGTGTGCGTGTGTGTATGTGCGTGTGAGTGATTGGAGGAGTGGAGTGAAGTTAGTGATTATCACATGTAGTTTGCACATTACCCCTAAAAAGTCCAGGCATATTTGAGCAAATTGTCTTTAATAAATTACCTTTAACACATTTATTTTTGTGGCAAATTCCTGTAATAATTTCAGCAAACCTGAAATTGTATAAAAATACAATTCTGGCTAGTGTATTGTACTTGTTAACAAAAAAAATGTAAAAAACAACAACAAAAAAAAAACGAACTACAACAAAAAAAACAAAAAAAGTTATAAAAAAAGAAAGCTTTCCTAAACGTTATACACTGTTCCAAGCAATTTTTGTCCAAGTACTTTAAAAAACACAAGCCGTCTCACAGATCTTGTACTTCCAAGGCTTATTCCTTCTTTTCACCACTAGATGGCACTGTAAAATGAAACTAAGATTTTACATTTAACATTTTAATTTGAGTTACCTTGCAAATAAGCAAGTAAGCAAATAAAAAAAGCTAAGCTGACAAAATGCCATCTTATGTTTTTTTGATGACTATAATGCATATAAGAACGTTAAAAGACGTTTAAAGCTAGTCACTGAAAAATGAAGGTGAATGCACTGATTTAATAGTAAATTCTCTAATTAAGACATTAGATATGATGTTGATCTGAGTTTAGTGTGTTTCATTTCTCAGATGCTGGGTGATCAGGATTTCCTCCTGTGTGTACCAGCAGCTGTTTGTTTGGTGTTTAGGCTGTGTTGCAGAGTGGCATGCTATAAACAACACCTGCTCACCAACATCCACACACCCACACCACCCTCTGCATCAGTGAATCTAGCTCAGCCGGTGAGAGCGCTGACATCCGCTCAATTCATAGCTTGAAAAATCTGAGCACTGTGTCTGGGGAATAAATCTGTGAATCACTTTACAGCTTCTCTTCTGGTAT